AAAGACATTAGGAATTTTAGGAAAACCAGCTTTAAGTGTAACGGAACTTGAAAAACAATTATTACAACCATCATCATTAGAAATAACAAAAACTATGATTACTTCTACAGGAACTAATAATAATAATCATAATAATAATACAATTGAAAGTCTCGTCAAACCTGTGCAGATTGAAAATAAAGTATGTTCACTATGATATTACTAGATGTGTAAGCTGTTGACCAGTATATTATCTTGAATTTGTCTTTCGGAGGAATGAACATCTATTTTTGAAAGCACAGACAATTAGTATGTAGTGCAATAACCACAAACTTCAGAGAGATCGATCTCCGGTAGGAGCGCTGCTGCCGGAACAAACATTGATTAGTCAATTTTGAAAAAATTTTCAACAACCAGGATCAGTTTTTAGGGATGTTTTTATCCATAGTGATGGACAAAATTTTAGAGCAGTTGTAATGTTGAGTTTTCTTCTTGATGGTAATAATTAGGAAGAATCTGAAAAAACATTTGACAAGCTAAAAGGATTTTCTATAAGAACTTGCACGCCTAAAATCTTCAATAAAATTGCTTGGATGAGGATATCTAAAAAACCAAAACCAGTTTGCTGGCATTCATTTAAAGGTTTTGGAAAATGGTTTTATTGAGGTCTTCAGTTCACAGACCCACATCCACACTCTAATAGAATTTACAGCAATATCTCACAAAAAACTACTAAAATATTAGAGATAATGATTTAATAGACTAATATTTCTGTGAAAAAGGATCTTAAAGGAATGTTGAAGTATAGCGATAAAAATTTAAAACTCCATCTTCCATAGACTGACATACAATCACACACCATATATGAATATTATCTCGTTATAATATATGAACTACTTCCTTAGTGCATTTCTACGGAATTAAATAAAAAGATCGTAAAGAAACATGTCGCAAAATATATATAGAATAAAACAATCTTCTTATGATTAACAAGAGCAGCTACATTATGTTTTACAGTTTAATTCCACTATCAGTTCTACTAGTGTTTAAAAAAAAGTTAATAGAACATCTACATTCTAATTATTTATTGAAAAAAAAAACCTATTTACATTATCATTTAGAATTCTATTCCAACACCACCTCACTCAATATCACCATGTATTGTAACTAATTCTACCAATGATTGGACAACATCTAATCAAAATCTTTTTAATGGAGTGAGTTATTAATTTCAAAGAAAACAAAAACAAAAATTATTTTATTGTTATCCAATTTTTTAGTTTGATACATTCCCAAATAATAATGGTCGTTTAATGACACCAGCTGAATTTCAAACATTACAACTAACTCAATCACCTGGTAAGTAGATCTAACAACAAATCATTTATTTAATATTATAATGTTTTTGTTATTTTCAATAGCTTTCATTCCGTCAATACCAAACGATGTAATAACATCTTGTCGTCATTGTCAAAATCAACAAATTTCATCTATGAATTATTTTTCAAAAGATACACTTCGACAGTTATTAATTGATATGCTTCAAGTAAATTAATTTTTTCATATACCTTGCTCAATCTTTGGTTTTCTTTTTGTTTTTACTTAGAATGATGAAGAATTTCTAACAGGATTACATAATGCTTATACAGAAAAACAAAATGATTTACATCGAATCTATTCATGAAAAAAAAACAAAACAAATGCAACAAAATCTTTTCTTCTCAAAACAATATTTCTCTAGTCGTTATTTGTACGTCTTGAATATATCGATATATTTTAGCCAAGTGAAAAACATTTCCATCTGTTCATCATTCATAAGACTCTTTTTCTATTGTTTAAATAAAAAAAAAAAAAGCTATGATGCACAATAAAAGAAAAAAAAAGAGCAATCAAATAGTTAATGAATATTGTTTTTTTTTTGGTTATATTTATGTTTTGACAGTAGTACGTGGGACATTATAAATTCCTGAATGATATGTACCTTGACGAGGTATTGAATCAAATGTATTAGCACTAAATGCTCTACGACGTTCTGTTTCAGTACGAAATGAATCAACTTGATTTTCACCCTAAAAATTTTCATCGAAAAAAACCTAATTAGAACAAATAAAAAGAAAAATTTCTAATTTACTTGAGCAAATTTTGGCATTTTCCATAATGGTTTTGGATCAACAGGAATTTTCGCTTGACGAAGAAGTGATGCTTTTGTATGATAACTTCCTTTAAAAGCATTCTATAAAAAAAAAATTTTATCATACATATATTCAATTAAAGTTAAATACCGCAGCATCGGTTCGTTCTTTTTTAAGTGTAGCTTGTTTTTTTTCCATTGTTTCAAGCCAATTATCAAGAAAACGATTTTGTAAAACTTCGCCTATAGGTGTTGATGGTCTATATTATAAACAAAATATTAAAATAGGGTAAAAAATTAAATTTTTCTTACCTATTTGGTGTACCGAATACCATATTATCAGGAAATTTATGTGGTTTTTTACCAAGTGATACATCACGAATGAAAACTTTCTTTTTAATATCATGTACGGTTCTATTAATAAGAAAAATTCAAAAATAAGAAATTAAATATTTAAATGATAACCTAAAACGTGATTGATCTTTAGCTGTTGTCATACCAGCTTCAAGTGCTGCTTTATTTAAAGCTGAATAATCACGTACAAATTCAAAATCAGGATTAGTTGCACGTTCTTTTTCCGGTCCATGACATAGTGCTAAACATTCAAATAGAATTTATAAATGCTTGGTTGTTTTTCTATTTATTGAAATTATCAACTATTCAGAATTTATTTTTGGTGATATATTTAAACAATGTTTTTGTAACAAAACTTAAGTTTATTAAGAAAACAATGGTTAGAAAAAAAATGCATTTTTTCAATAGGATGATAGCAAAATATCCTATATACGAGTTCGTATTTCGAGATTTTATTTCAAATGAAATGAACATCATATTCATAACAATCAGAAGGAAAATCTACATCGAATAGTATATTTAATTTTTAAAATAAAATTTCAAACTTAGAAGGAGCACACAGATTAAATTATTTGGAAAAGAAATAGTGCGAAATGGAATAACCATTATTGGATGAATATTTATTTTAAATATTGAGTATTCTATTCAATGTAGATTTTCCTTCTGATTGTGAATTATGATGTTCGTTTGCTTTGAAATAAAAGTTCTAATGATCAAAAAATTTGTAAATATGAACCCGTATTTATGATGAATATGTTGAAAACAACTTTTTCGAAGATTTTGTTTGAGTTTCGAATTGTCGACATCTTACCTTCGTTAACACCACCATCACGTCGTGGCATCGTTATACCATATGTAAAACTTTGTGGAGGTAATTTATGACCTCGTCGACGAGATTTACCTAATTCTGGCTAAAGAAAATTATAATTTAAATTATTCGAATAATAATTCACGCAATAAAAACATACTAAAATTTGAAGTTCACTTTGAAGCATTGAGTCACGTTGATCACCAACAACACCTGTCTTTGTAAATTCATATGGAGATACATGCGGAGGTGTTTCACTCCTGCTTCGAGTACTCCCACGATGTTCAGTTTCGTTGCTCATTAGTTTATTATCTTAATGCTATGTATTCGGTCTATAAAAACTTTTTTTCAGTATGATCAAAATTAATATAATGTTTCTTTTTTATAATTAATTTAATTATGATACTCTATAAATCAATACTATTTAATTGACTTTCTCACACATTATTGTGATTTATTAAATGTGTCTATAAGTACTTACCGTCAAGAGTGATAGAAAATGTTTATCAAATATTGCCAAACCGTTTTTACCATCTTAAAATACATCACTTAGTTACGAACATCAAGTTAAAAAAATGTTTATTCATATAAATCAATATAAATTTATTTTATTCATTATTGCAAAATTCAAAATTCTATATTAAATTTTAAATTAATGAAAATTAAACAATTTAACTTAGATGTCACTAATAGTTAGAGCATGTTGCCTGCTAACTAGCTGTCGAGTTTTTGAAGTTCTTCTAATAAAAAAAAAAAAACAATCATCTAGCAAGTAAATAATCAATCATTATTCAACTATTTCATCGAATGAATTTAACATTGAAGAAAAGAGTAGTTATTCAAATCTTTTCTATCATATCAATTCTCGTTGTTAAGAGAAAACATCATTCCAACTAATCATTGACATGTGTGTTGATCATTTGACATAATCATCATGACGTTTGTTCCATACATAAAGAATTTATACTCAATCAGACGAATTAATACCAACGTATAGACTGACAAACTGATTATGTAAAAGACATATATATCAAGCTTATAAATCTTATAATTTTATATATGCTTTGTAAACACAAACAGCCTCGAGGTTGTTTTTCATTAAAAAGAACACCGAATGATTAAGTAAAATCTACCAATGTTTATTCTCTAGATTTACATATCTTCTTCGTACATCATGTATAATTCGGCTTATAACACTACAAATCTTCTGTATAACTACCTAGATATTAATCCTTAACTCATGAAATGTCTTAGAGTATACTTGTAAAATAATTATTGAAAATAGAATGCAAGCCTTCCGGATGTATTAATAGAATGGCTAAGTCGGTTTATGATTTCCTATTTATTTTGACTACAATACGTACTATGAATAGTTTGTTAGACGTTCTTGCAATGTTACTGCTATTCATATTAATTTCAATGAGCAACGAGAAGTAAAAGCTCAACTTGACATTATTCTGACATCGATAAATCATTCGATGAAAGAGAAAAAAAAGAATTTGAAATTCAATATTCAATAATTCAATATTTGTTGATATTTATCTGAGCTAATATCAAATTAAAATTAAAATTAATATGAAATACAATATTTTATATATTTTATCGCAAAAAATTGTCTATAGTTAACGTTCAATGAAAATATTCCAATACATTACAATGAAATTTATTCAAATTTTAAAAAGGAACGATACATTAAAGAAAATTTTTCTTTGGAAAATATTTAAAATATCAAAGAGTTGTTGTTAAAGTATTTGAATCATTAGCTTTTTCTGTTGATATTTGTTCATATTGTCCTTTAGAAAGATTATTGTCAGATGAATTTTTTTCAACACCAGTTTGATTGATACAATCCATATCAGATTGTTCATAATCACCATCAGAAAATTCATAATGTATTATAATATTTGGTGATAATTGTTGATCATTATTTATTTTTAATATTTCTTTTTTCTTTTTATCCTGTATTGATGATGATGATTGTTGATTTGTTGATTGATAACTAAATCGATCAATTTGTGTTGATATTAGATGTTTTTTTTGTAATTTCTGTCCTTGTTGTTGTTGTTGTTGTTGTTGTTGTTGAGAATGTGTACGTGATTGACGTTGATCATCACGAAAAAATGTTGAACATGTTGGTTCAAAAAAAAGACTTCCACAATTAGTACGAAAACTACGATTTAAAAATGCATAAAGAATTGGATTAATAGCTGAATTTAAATAAGCAAATGAATTAGCAATCATTTTATAATAATAAAGAAAAACATTTTTTTGTGGAAATATATATGCTGACATTATATATAATGTTATAGGTAACCAACAAAGTGAAAAAGCAAGAGTAACAACGGCAACCATTTTTGTTACAGCACGACGTTTTTTTGACCATTTAACAATATTATATTTCTATAAAAAAAAAAACGAAAAAAGAAAAAATTTAATTGTTACAAAGAAAAAAAAACTGAAGATTTGTTTTTTCATTATATTACTGTTTTAGGATGAAGTTTATTTTCTTTTGAATAAACAAAATAAAGTAATTTAGTATATGATATTATTATTATTGTTAATGGTATAAAATAATAAAGTGTAACTGTATAAATACAAAAATGTTTTTGTAATTCTTCATCAATAAGTAATGCACATTGTCGATGATTATCATCATTATTTATTACACCATAATAATAATAATACGGTGAAGCAAATATACATGAAACTAAAATTAGTAACAAGATTATTTAGGATACCGAAAGAAAAAAAAACTCAATAACAATAATATTATATTTACTCAACCAAATGATAATACTTAATAAAAGTACAGTTCTAGGTTTTCGCCATTTTAAATTTTCAAATGGTCGTACGACATAAATATAACGATCAATAGTCATTATGACTAATGTTAGAACAGTAACAAGAACACTAACGAAAGAAATAAAATTTAGAAGTTTACAAAAAATTTGATTGAATAACCTAAATGACAAAGAAAATTTATTATTAAATCATAGAATATTAGAAATGTTTATTTACCAATGCTCTAATGTATATTGAACGACTAGAAGTGGCATACAAAATACCAAAAAGACAATATCAGTAATACCCACTGAAATTAAGAAATAGTTAATAGAAAAAAGAACTATTCTCTCCTTATAATTACTTACAATTAACAATAAAACAATTTGTAACATTATTCAATTTTTGAAATCGAATAGCAACAAATATAACAAGACCATTACCTAATTATGAAATTAAAATTATATTTCAAATTTGTTTTTTTATTTTCTAAAGAATAAATTAATTTTACCTATAATACCAGCAACAGCAATAATAATCCATGCACAAGCAAAACCCATACGTGTATGAAATGTTGGACCATTATTATTTTCATTCCAGTCATAATTACTATGATTACTTATGATAGTTGTATTAATATCCATATTGAAAAAATGTTTGCTAATAAATATCAATATGAAATTTACTAATCGTAAACAATAATGTTGAATGAATCTGAAGTAAAACCTATTATTACCTCTTCTCATATTAGGTAAAATGTATAAAAAGAAAGAATCAAACTACATATTACAATATTTTCATCATAGTCAATCACCCTATTCTTTTTTACTCTAATAATATTAATAAGTATATCGAAACAATTAGAATTTAGATTGCTCATTACTGATATGAAACATTATAGTTTGATGAAAAGTCAAGAATGTAAAAGTGTTTCCATGTGGTACCTACATAGCTTTTGACGCATTTAGATTAAATTTATTCTCTTTGACTGGTAATTGTCACATAACAATGAAATGGCACAGAAAAAAAATAGAGACTGCGTGACATGAAATATAGAGACTTATTAGATGATACTATGTCTCAAATACAACTACTATAAAGAATAACTTACGTAATATTTTAGGAAAGAATAGATAGTTCAATGTGAGAAAAAAAAAACTTGAATTCTTATTGTCTATTTCTAAATTTTTACTGCAGATCTAAAGCAAAGATAATTTCTGATGACCATACATGTGATGTGATAGACGGAAACAATCAAGTCACAGTGAAGAAAAACAGGAAGACAAATGAATAAGAACAAATTTCATAAGATCTATTAAGAATCATGCATTTGATGTATTATTTCAGCTAAGAAATTCCTATTATACACCAAAGAATTTTAAGAGTTGTATTGTGCCGTAGACAGCCTAGAAAAATCTATTAGCAACAAAATCTTATATAACGGTGAAAGGGGCTTAGTTGGATGTGTAATCACTTTTTTTCCTGTGATTATTTTTCTTTCCTCTTCAGAATTACTTGTCATTTTTTTTTAAGTACGTGATAAAAAATGATTTGTGTTTTCTTCTATTACCGAAAGAAATAACAAAAACAACAGTAGACTTATACGATTATCAAGCTATTCTATGAATATCTCACGTACAAAAATAAAATTAAAAAAAAACAATTATAAATAATTGAAAATATCATACTGATAATTAAGCAATTCAAAAATGCTCAAGCACATTTTGAATTTTCAAAATCAATTTTAATTAAAATATTCATTTCTTGACATTAGTGTCAATGCAATTTCTATGCAAGAAAAAAAACCCGATTATTTCAACTAATGTGTGAACGCACGACAAGCTTACAAAGAGAAGATAAAAACAAACATTAGAGAAGAAAAAAAGAAGAGTTGTCAGATAGTGTCAGCAAAATTATTTTAAAAAGCTTGAATAATAATTTACTACAGTCATCTCGAATAAAACTCAGAAAATAATAATATCATATATAGTTCTCAATAAAAACAAGAATTTTTACATAAAAAAAAACACATATTCTATTCTGAATAATTATATAAAATCGATCTATTAGATCAAATATTTTAATAAGCACAAAGGAAAGAAATGTCTTGAATAGATGTCATCTATTCGATCTAGCGGGACAAATATTATCAACACAACAACGCTAACATTAATGCATATATATAACCAATACACTTGTTTATTTTCTTAGGAATATCATACTTAGTCTATTTTTATATCTCTCTTTGATTAATAATGAAAAAGAAGCTATTCAGTCAATATAAGTCCAAAATCCATTGTAGAAAGACACAATGTATTAGAGGGGAAGAGAAAAAAAATCGGAAATTATAGAACTGAATAGGATGTGTTTGTATTTCATCTGATTGTTTTTTTTTCTGTACGCAGCACGTACCGGATATTGAAAAGTATAGGATTTATAAATGTAAAGAGTTTAATGTGAAATATGGCTCTTATCTCAAGGATTATATTTATGATATTTCATTAGAAAGTCTGTACTAAAGGGTTATATGAATGCAAAAATTAGTGAGTGAATATTCCTGACTTTTATACTGTTCTTTTTTGTTTTTGTATTCATATTTAATTACGACTAAAATTATTTATGATGTTCTATAATGACGCAAAAAAGTCAATTTTAATTATAGCTAACATTTATCGAATAGTGGTTTTTCCTTTTATTTCTCAATATTATCTTCAGACTTTATTTTGATGTTTTTATTTTCAAAACATCATTCAAAAAAATAAATTTCTTAAGATAAAAAAAACGTTTTGTGTTTGATCTAAAACTTAACCTTTATATAATAATATCATTTCCACTAGCAGATATTAATGTTATATGTATTGATATTCATTTAATTTTGTTTTGGTTCATCATGATCATATTTAAATTTATATCAATTTCATGTTATTTATACCATACCACATTGCATGTTTGATCATATTTAATTAATAACAAAATTATTTATGGAAAATAAAGTGAGAAGATGAAAGTGAGAAATAAATAAAAAAGAATAAGGAAAAAACCTCGAAATATCACTTTAACTATAATAAAATTATTTTTTTTATGTTATTACACGCATATTTACTTTAGTTTTCTAAACAAAAGAGGCATTGTATCTTCTATTTATCTTTTATGATTATGATAATGCTTCTCATTCGGAATATAGTACATTACAATAAAAATTCTTCTCATATCTGGTTTTATTTTATCTAATTACATATCTCTTTTTTTCTTTATTAACTAGAATCTTTGGAGATAATGATCGTAATAGAACACATTTATATAGATATTAAAGTACAAAAACAAAAACAAAAAATCAATATAATTCATCACATATTAATTATAAAAATGTCATTCATCGCAATAGGATGACAATTTTTTCAAACAAAAAGAAAAACATACGTTAGAAATATTATCGAAAAACAAGAAAATAACATGATGATATTGTATGACGAAATTTCTCATACTAAAACGTCAAATGAAAACTATCTTTATTAATAATGAAAGAATATCTTACATAGAAAATGTTAAGAAAGAATGACTATACAAAGTCATCTTCTTCTTTCTTTTGATGAAGGCCAGATGTTAGAAAAAACAGGTTTAATAGTGAGAGAAAAAAAAATGAAAGGTGACATATAACATATAGATGGATAAAGGCGACATACAACATTTTACATGATATTATTATTGTTTTTCTTCTCGTATAATTTTAGTTTAGTTAATCGATCATTCGATAGTTCGTTTTTATAAGAAAAAAAAAATCTATTCATATTTCCAAGTAAAATTTACTCAGGAAATCAATAGGATTCAATATAAAGACTTTTTAACCTTTTGTTTAATCTTTTTTTATTCTAATGACATAGTTCTATAATAAGAAACAAAAAAATTGTGCTAATATAGTAGAACTTTAAATGCGTATATTCACATAGAAATTATACGGATATAATTTTCACACAGGAAATTCTTTTAATGTTCAAGATTACTTCTCGTTTTTTGATTGTTTAACACTAAATTGTTTCTTTCTTGTCAATGTCAAACATTAAGAAAAAAAAAGATTTCATCATTAAGAGACCACCTATTAATTCCTACTATAGTTTATATGAAGATTTCTTGACAGTATGACGTATATAAATTATGTGTGTTTTATTATTTTTTTTCACCAGTTTACTAATTAATAACTAGATACACTTAATATGATAAACATAATGATGAAAGATAACAGAAACATATAATTCGTACACATGAAATACACATTAACTATATGTTTATCATTATTTATAATCGATTAAAATTTGTTATCTACAAAAATAATATATCACATAAGCCTATTTCTATAAAATTATTTTAGGAATTAAATGACATAAAGATTAATGTATAAACTTCGTTTAATAGCACAAATTACTTTGACATTATTCAAAATGACATTATCTTGAAACTCGAAAAGAAAAACATAAGAATAAGAATATGAGTGAATTGCAATTTTTTGGTGCAATTGATGATTCAGCTGTATTTCGCTAATAACTTCTGTTTGTCTCAACCGATTTAAACAATTTTTTAATATATTATACCCCTTGAGGCTCCCCACTGCCGTACAAAATTTTAGCTCTCTAGCTCATACTGTCACTGAGTTATAAAAAATTTATTACAAAAAAATGTCAGTTTGGTCATGATAGGTGCTAAGAAAATGAAATTTTTGGCTATAAAAATGCAAGAGGAAAAGAAGATGTTTAGTCTATTTTGTAGAGCGTCCGACGCTCTATGCAAATATATAACTGATTTTAATCTTATTTTTCGTTTCTTGTTTCGTCCATCATTAATATTGTTTGACAGACACTTGTACATTTTTATGTAGAGTGACGAAAACATGATTCTAGCTCAGCTTGTGATAGAGCTGGTAGCGCGCAGACTATATTAAAAGAAAGAGGATTCTTCAACTACCAAACTGATAAGAAAATGTTTTCTCTTAGCAGATTTATTTGAGGAAAAAAATAGCAAGACTTTCTGATAAAAGGGTCTGTATACTCATTTTGCAGAGTGACGATTTAAAAATTGTCATCTTTACAACTCCTCAACGGCTCGTTTGACTTCACTCAAATTTTTACAGCAGGTACAAAACAAAAAGTTCTACAAGTGGCAAAAATTTTAGTCTTGGATCTTGTACCGTTCAGAAGAAATTTACATCATACTGAAAAATGTAGAGTGACGCTTTTTGAAAATTACTTTGTGTATAACTCGTGAAAGGCTCGTTTGTTTTTGCTCAAATTTTTACTGTAGATATATTTCTCAGACTTATATAACCGGTAAAAAAATTCAGCTTTCTATCTCTTACCGTTTTCAAGGTATTTACATTACATGATGAACTCTAAAATGACATTTTTCATGAAAATAACGTTTTTTTATAGTACATTTACGTTGAAGTAAGTCGTATTCCAGCTAATATGCGGTAAAGTGTTGGAAAACTTTTGCTGTATACTACAGGCATAGAGCTTAATAAAATGCACTACTCAAAAGTTGTTTAGATTCACTTTCATTTTTTTCTCATCAATAATACCAAAAAGTCGCAATTCACTTATATATATATATGATTATGTTGAACTTTAATCAATCGTATTTTGTCTTTTATAAG